GCCCAAATAGTGCTTAGAGTAAGATATCAGGATGTCCCAGTATGTTACTGTTATGTTACCATTATCAAGCTACCTCCCGATATTTAACCTATATGCTACCAATATGCTACCGAGATGCTACAGTTATTTGGTGGATCTATGGTAGAATAACAGGTACATACCAGGAGATTTGTCTTCCGATATGTACCCATTATTCATTGATTCAACCTGTACAACAATCTACCAATGTAAATAATAATAATGCAATAGAATATTTACCTTCTATTGATCCAAATGGATTATTGCAAAGAGTTTGTGCTACCATATATTTATCTCTGGATGAACTTTGGGCTATACCTTCTGATATTGCTTTAATTATATCAATTTTGGCTCCACGATTCAAAACTTTTCAATAGGCTTCTAATCAATTTTCATATGCTAAAGGATTACTTGAAAGGGCTTATATTGAAATGAAAACAGCCTTGAAATTATTAAGTTTAAATAAAGTTTCAGAAAAAACAGCAAGCATTCAAGACAATAATAATGATGATGATGACAGATTTTTTGATAAGTTGAAAACTATATCTCGTCAAGCATTAAAATTAATTGAACTGGATGAAGTAACACATTATCTAACTTTGGACAGTATTGGGCTTAATGATGATCTGATAAAATGGTAGCAAACTCATAAATCTAGATTGCTAACTCTTGCTCAATTAGCTAGAAAATATCTTTCGATTCCAGCATCCTCAGTTCCATCAGAAAGATTATTTTCTAATGCCAGAAATCATATTACAGCAAAAAGGACACGATTATCACTAGATCTAGTAAATAAGTTCTTATTTTTGAAAAGAAATAGTAAATATATCAAAATATTTCCAAAGAAATAGCTTTAGTTAGTTTATTGTTTTCATTATAATATGTAGCTTTAAACCCATTATATATGCAAGTGCTATTGCAGCTTATTAAATATTGGATGTAAAAATATTCAATTTATCGAAATGTCAAGCATACAAATTTAAACTTTTATTTCAATTGAAAAATAATTCAGTATATTTACTGCATTTACAAAAATTTTTAATTAATAAATTTATAATATAAATTTTTTGGCAATTATCTTTACTTACTGAAGTCAACTTTATCTAACAATACAATGTACAACAAAAAAATGCTTTAAATCTTCTATGTTTGTATTTGTAAGGGTAGCATGAATTTGACTTTATTTTAACTGATCAAAAAATTTTTCAAAAAATAACAACACATTTATAATTCAGTTTTAATTTTAACCGGTTTAAATTAAATAATAACCAGTTCTATATTGCATCCAAAATCAATTCGGTTCTTGAATTTACAACCAGTTCCAACCTCTAATTGCAGATTAACCAATGCTAAATATATACTATTGGTTAATCTGCAATAATTTGATGTCTAACTTAATTACAAGTATTAACAAGTATTTAACTGTCAAATTTTTGTTTGATTGTGCTAAGCACTAGTATTAATGAAGCACTAGTATTAATGAATCTAATACTAGTTTGAGGTTTTTGCACTTTCAATAGTTGTCAAAATATTCAGTTTTATTATTGGTATATGTTTCTTTATATTTATAAAAAAATGTGAATTTATTACAAAGTTTTGCATTTTCACATCTATTCTGATATACTTGAAATGTTTGATATTGATTCCATTTTGAATTTTGTTTGATTTATATTTTCAATAACCTTTCATACTTGTAGTTTTATTCAATATTTTTCTAAATTGTATTCTTTATTCTCAGCTTGACTTCTGCAGTTTTTACAAGTTTTAAATGCTTTTCTACAGAAGTATATCCAAATTCTTCTTATTTTTGTATTTTTTTGCATCTTGAACAGTTTTAGATTTTTTTTAATTTTTCTTCAGAATCTTTTCTTGGGTATAGTTTTTATTCTCTTCTTTTTATTCAACAACTATTACAAGTTTTATATATTTTTTCTGATTCTTTAAATACTTCTAGATATTCTAATATAGTTTTGCAATTTGTATAGTATTTACTTGAAGGTATTTCTTGATTTATTCATAATAAACTTTATTATTCTCTTGTATGTATGAGAATTCATGCCAGATTTTTATTTTTGTTTTGTTGTTTGAATAGTCAAAATTATTAAAAAATATTAAAATATAATAGTCTTTTTCTAATATAGTTGCTATAGTATTGTCTGATTTTTTAGTTTTTGTACTATCAGTTAGTTTCTTATTTCTAATAAATATTCCTTGATAGACAAGAATTTGTTGTAGTTCTTTTGCTATTAAGTTGACTACAAAGTATTCAATATCTATAATTTCTTCTTTTAATTAAGAATAAGAATGAATTTCTTTATTATATAATATAAATATTTTATCTCTTATAATTTCTGATAGTTTTCAAAGTATTTTGTTGGTATAGAGATAATTTGTATTATTACTTTCCTATGTTGTAATATTGTTTCTTGAAATAATTATATTTTCATAGTTATTTGTAATTTGATTATAGATATAATTATAATTTCTGGTAGAATATATATAGATTAAATAATTTTTTTATATACTACTCTAAATGTTTTAGTGGTGTATATTGATTAAAACTTTTTATATAATAATATATATTTACTAGTTTTTTAAAATATACTCTAGTATGGGTGTGGTGACTTAGTAAAGTATTAGAGTTGTCGCACAGCTTGACTATGGTACCAAGTTCAAATCCTACTAAAGACATTTCAAATAAAAATACCTGTGTTATAGTGATGGATCTCTCAAATTGAGTTGGGTTTATAACCTGTTACTGGAGTTACACTAATGCCCTGGGCTCTAGAAGCTTCTGGAAGCATTTGTGTCATTGCATGAAGAAATGCAAACTAGTATAGGTGGTGCAAACTTATAATAAGCCTTCTAAGAAATGAAAAATATTAAAGATACCTATACATAGAATCTAGAGATCCAGAACCAGCTTGGGAAACCCCAAGTCTTGAGAAAGTCCTGAGTAAGAATTAGCAGCTTTTGATGGTACTACAGAAGCAGTCCAAAAATAGAAATTTGGATAACAAAGATCTTTGGGCAAAAGGATCTACCAACCAGGCTGCTGGGATCACTAGAGCTGCACTAGATATACATTTATTGGTTACTTTGGTACAGGTGTCTAGTGAAAGATCCTAGGATAAGACCCCAAAGAAAAAAGACTTGCATTACGAAAACTTGTGCAAGGATCAGGAGATCTTTAGATCTGTGATTGGGACCCTCAAGTCTGGGCAGACCAATCCTTCTAGGCTATCTGAATTGAAAGACTAAAGACCAAAGTATAAAGTATGAGCATAGGTACTAGGTTGTGAACCTTACAAAGAGTGAGAAGTAAGTAATAGGAGGACTAGTTAAAAAGGTTGTGCTTAAGATACAGATTGTGTTATAACAGTACTTCAAAAGGTGGTATGAGATATGAATACAATAGCGGCAGACAATATGTACTAATTAGAAAGAATGTTACTGAACAAGTACACACTATGTGTAGGACTAGTGATTGGACCCGTCAAAAAAAACACCACCCGGGTCACCCGCGGGTGGACCTATGAGCCACCCAGGTAGAACCTGGGTGGGTTAAAAAAGCAACCCGTCGGGTGGATTCATGAGTCACCTGGGTGGAAATAGTATAGCTGTTTTCATAAATTCCGGAACAACTGAAAAAATTGCCGATGACCGAATCGATAAGCTTCCGAAGTCAGTTATTTATTGATTCCGACTCGGTAACTTATCAATT